GTTGAAGGATCGAGGAAGATTTTTGGAGAACGCAAGCAGAGCAGCTTTCAAGTTGGCTGCAGCCACTTATTTTTTGAGAAGAGTTGAGTCTAAAGTACCTGCAGAAGGAATACACAGCGTAAGTGCGGGTGCAGCTGTTGAGCAGGAATGGGAAAAGTTACTGACACATTTGGTTATTTGTTGGTATATTTTGAAGATCACCATTTAGTCGCTCAAACACCCATCCAGTCCATGTGGAGGCAGGGTCTCCACGAGCCATGCATTTGGGTATGTGTAGTAAGAGGTGGTGATTGGGTACTGCTTTGAATTGCAAGAATATTTTACTGGCACTTTGTCAATACTTCTGCAGGTACCCCCTGAGAGTAGCTACATCTGATTTGTGGATTTCTGTCTGTCAAACAATTGTCACAGCACTGATGAGTTTGAAGAAGTTATGTAATATCTTGTCATTGACATCTGCTTGAGTATGGTATATAATACCAATGGCGGGAACAAGAATGATTGTAAAAAGCACAATCCACTCATCAGCTTTGAGCTTTCCCCCAGAAACTTCACCAATGGTGACTGGTACGCAATTGATCCACAAGGGTAGGTGAATTGTTTCAATAACTGAACAGAGGATTTCCATAGATACCGAGTTGTCAAATATGGTATTTGAATCGATAGCATTGCGCCCCTCGAGACCATCATCAAAATCTGAAGCACGATTGCCCAAATCAGAGTCGCTACTAGAATTGATTCCCTTGGGGCAGAAGTCAAGATCGGACTCTGCATCGGAGCCCTCTGAGCTTTCAAACAGGAACCAATATAGATTAGCCAATTCAGTTGTCCACTGCTGTAGTTTGGTGTCCAGTTGAAGTGTGGTTTTCAGTTGGAATTTTGCTTTTTTCTCTAGGGGATATTTAGTATTTTTTTTGTATGAGTCATCAGGGGATTGTTTGAATCCAAAGAGGGTCTGCCCATGATACTTCAAGACCCCAAGGAATATGTTGTGTATTGTCTCTACTACCGTATGAGTAACAGGAAGTAGATAAGGTAACTTTAGCTAAGGGGTGTAGCGGACGCCCCACTTTTTAAAACTCTCTTTCTGTAGTACTTTTGTCTTGGCGGATCCCCATTGCACAGGTGCTTCCCTCAATTCTTGATTCCCTAAAGGAGCCATAGCTGTTGAGTCAATTGAGTCAAGATTTCCCTTTTGGATCTTGCAAAACAAGCAAGGATGGTTCAAAGAGGTGTGTCCAGCAAGCCCCATCACCTTTCTTACCGCAAGAAGGTTGCATATGACTTGCAAAATCATAGCTTGGATGGTTCGTCCAGATTGGGGAAAACATGAGGTGCTTGAGAAGTTGACGCCATGCCAGAGGTCCAAAAAGTTGCTCACAAGGGGTTCTAGAACTTTTCCAATTTGACAGACTGTTGGCTCCTTGGGACCTGGGGTTATACCAGCAAGATAGATATTCTCGGGACGATAGCGGTCTGAAAGTAGAAGATTCAGGCAAACTAAAACAAGGTCACCGAGTGAAGCCTTGTTCCCCCATGGGTTGAACCAATTGATGCCTAGGGAGAATGCCAGATGGCCCATTGTAGAGGTGAACGGGCTTCCATTGGGATTTTTTTGCTTAGACCAGATCGGAGAATCCCAAACATCTTGCATAAAACCATTTTCCAGGTTTTTTTATTAATCGAAGTATCAAGAAGATCTTCAATATTGGGTCTGTGTAAGAAACTCCCTAGCCATTCTAGGAGAGAGTACGTTGTGAAAGTCGGCGGGGTTTCATGACTTGCTGTGTATGATTAGGTGGATTGAAGAACAAGGGTTCTGAACAAATTCGACTTTGAGGGGTAGCGCGGTAAGAGCATGTCTGTTGCTTTGATTCAAGAGGGTACATCAAGTAACATTTCATACAGCATATAATTTTTGATAGTTTGGGTTCAATATTTAATTTTTTTTAAAATGGTAGCTATATTTGCTGGAAGTGAATCAATACGTCTGCTTGAACTTGATCTGATATCAAGGATACCCTGTTGAACTCAAAGATCAAGGTCAGAAGATTCAACACTAGTGTGTTTGAGAAGATATTGGCAGGCTGATCAAAGCATGGAAGCCAGCTTTTTGCTTGCAATATTTAAAGACATAAATTGATTGTGATGAAAAAGACCTGTTTGTAAAAATAATGACAACAGACGTGGTTAAAGCAGATTAGTAACATGCAGAGAAATATCACATACTGTGTTGGACCAATTTTGTTGAGATTGTCAGAATTTTGGAACGGAAGTGCATCTGCTTGATTGGGTTTGGATGAATCTAACGGCTCGGCTTTGGATGGAGTCCCTGGCAGATGGCTGCATTAAACGTTGCATTAAACATCTTCAGTATCAAGATGAAGGAAATTCAATTTGCGAGCTTGAGACACCTACCTGTCTCCACCTGTGAAATAGTTTCAGACAAGTCCTGGACATTCATGTGGTTGGAAAGTCAGCTTGGATTTATTTGGGTGTGATTTGACTGCGCGACAGGTATACCGGAATGGCAAGATGGAGTCGCCTCTGGAAATGAATCTGTGGGTGTTGGTTGCAAGGATAATTGAGCTTGCAGGGTGCTTGGATTGGGATTGTTTTGTCGGTGTTTTAGGTAAAGCGGCTGTGGCCACAAGTGCCCAGGATGTGACTTGCCATTTTGATCACAGTATGTTTGTCAGCCACAGAGCACCTTTCACAGTACGTGAAATGTACCTAGTAACTGCAAATAATGATAAATAATTGAATACAGGAAAATATTATACATTGTTGTTAAAATAATAAATAAATAAATATGTATTTACATTTAATCTTAATTCATAATTTATATTTAATAATTCTATAATTAACTGTGAAATCCCTTAGAGTATTGTACATATAATATCACTAGGATTCCACAGAAATATCATTAGAATAAGGTATTAAAACAATGTTTATTCTTATACATTATGTACATATTTTATAAGCCATAAACTAATTACATATGTATAAGAATTAGCTAGTAGAAGCGTCAGATGGATGAGGAATAAGTTATATAAACTTATCTTAAGCTTACCCATCCTTGATCACATTATCAGGGCATCAGATTGCATCATAAACCTCTTGGATGGCGTCATCAGGACCCTTTTGTGCTCTAATTCAAAGCTTGCATAATTCAAAGTAGCCTACACAGGAAAGGAGCCCAAATTCTACATGCAAGACTGAATTATGCATGCAGAACATGCATTTCTCATGATCACAAGCTTGCATAAGCAGAGTTACACGTATGCAACTAACCATACAATTGCACAGCCCCTGCACAGTAACTGCAGCTCTTTCAATTACGTGAGAAATGGGCCATAAATTAAATTATGCATGTATGACATCATGTCCTAGGACCTTCCATCAATGCATAGCACTGCACAGCTAAAGTTCCCATGTTTACACAAAACTGTAGAGCTGCTAAGAAGCTCCCTAGTGCCCTGAGGGCCTCTTCTCTTCCCCTGAGCCCCCTGTAGAATATTTAAGGAGCTGAGATTCCTACCTTTTCCCCCCAGGAAATTCTAGTAGCATCAAACCAACACTTGTACCGTGTTGATTAGTGATTCAAACCACCAATAACCTTACAAACCAGCTAACTTAGACCTAAATAGATTTACTTTGCTCAGATTCAAGGCATTTCTACTTATCTCTATTTGTCAGCCTCTGGGTAACTAACCTGAGTATTTAATAGTAAAAAGGTTGTTACTATGAGTTGATTGAAGTTTTTGAGCGTGGTGAGTGTTAGGTAGTGGGTGATTAATACCAGTCCTGTAAAGAGGAGGTTTCACTCTATCAGTATGGTCTTTACTGAGAGGCTTGCTATCAACAGCGCATCCGGATCAATACAAGGTATTAATAGGCATCCAGGGTACTAAGACTCACCTGGGATTGATTTGGTTATTCCCAAAAGGGAATGGGCTAACAATACTTATTAAGCTTTAACAAAATTAGTTGAAGATTAACAGGTATTGTTGATGGGAATATTCAGCAAGGCTATGAATACTGTGGATAAGTTGA